AAGTAACAAATATTCCGTTTAATATTAATATTAATACACAGTTTGGATATAAAAGATTAAATTATTCATCATTATTAAAATATATATAGACGAGAATTTCGAAAATATCGCATGAAATTGAGAAAAAGAAAGAAAAAAAGATAGTCTATCACACACATTAATGATAACAATCATCTTGGGTCTACTCCATTCTCTAAACTCTCCTTTTTCTTCGCGATCGTTGCTTAGCGCGATCCTCGGATCTCATCGGGCGAACCTCAATCTATTTATCTATATATCTATCGCATGGGTCGCCTAGTCGACCATTTCGTTCGAATCGAAACACGCTATCTCTCCCGCTGGCAATGGCAGAAACGAATTCTCGTAATCCCGTCAGACGTTCTCCGTCGAGCCGTTATTTAAAGCCGTCCAACGGGCATTCGATGAGCGAAGTTATCAGCCATAAAATAACTTTAGTTATATCCCAGTTCCAAGATACGAATTTCTTTTTTCTTTAGCTGAACGCATTGTCTAATTATTTAAATTTAACCCCATACTTAAATGTGTTAAATGCTAAGTCAATTATAGTAAAAATATATGACGTTATTATATATAACAACAAACGTATATTTACAGATTATTAGTTTGGAATAATGTATTTTCCTATATTAAATCCGATATAGTATCTTCATTGTATAAAGATATGTATGTGTATTTATACGTTATTAGTTTGGTATAATGTTTTGTTCTATATGTCAAATCCGATTAAAATAACGTTTTATTATACAAAGATGGAATATTTACAGATTATTAATTTGGAATAACATATTTCCTTTATATCAAATCCGTAATTAATTTCTATAATACACAATTCTCTCTCTCTCTCTCTCTCTCTCTCTCTCTTTCTCGCTCTGATATATAATATTTAGAATTTGCTATAATTCCGTGTAATACTTATAAGACGACATTGAGAAACTTTCTTAACGAAACTTTCAAATATCAGAATCAATGTGTAATTTTTCGTCGACTTTGTTTTGCATCAATCGATCGTGACGTTTTGCTTCGATCTATATGACGCTAAACGTACGTCGTTTTCTGCTCACGGCACGCATTTTACACAGTCATACAGGTTCCCGAGGCGATTTCCAATCTGTGATCAAGCGCCGGTCCATTTGCAACTTGATGGAGATATTCTGGATTCGAATTGGCGTGTTGTTCCGATCTATCCTTTTTTCGTGCGAATTTTTTGACGTTGAGAATTCGTTATAATAAAAATCCCCTTCCCGCGCCGTTCAATATTCGCAGGATATATGTTCGCCGAACAGAAAATTTCATTATTGTTTTTCGATATAATCATGTTCAGAGTATGTGGGTCAAATATGTCGAAGTAAAAGTATGATATCGAGGCACAAATATTAATACACATAGACAGTGCTTAAATCTAGAGAGTTTTTTTAGTTCATTCCGAAATCACTATTTAAGCATACTTTATTCGATGAACGTCCCGGGAATGTCTTTAGAACATAGGAACATCTTCTGAACGTTTTTAGGACGTCTCTTTGAGATCTGTGTTGTATGCGTTAGTTTCCAGTGTTTTAATGTGGTTCTTATATTATTTGTCAGATTCTTTTGTTACGTTTTTCGACGCACAATTTAAAAACTTATATTCTATTACTAACAGCAAATACATCATTTATTAACCCCCAAGGTACACCTTTGATTATTCTTTTATTCTTTTATTATTTTATTCTATTCTTAATTGTTTGTGTGTGTGTGTGTGTGTGTGATGTGTGTGTTTATCTATAGTACATATACTTTTCTATAAACATTTAAACTTTATAGAACAGCTATTGCAGTATCGATTAAAACATTTAACATAAATACATCATGAATTATTAAATTTATTAATAAAAAAGACAAGTAGATTATTAACTTCCTATTATTAAAAATTCATAAGTAAGCTTTCTGCACATATATATTTTATATTTACTAAATTTTCTTTTTCTAAGCGATTATTTTCTTAAAACTTAATATTTTTTAAATCTATCATCTGATTAATCAATTTATGATACAACGGCTTCAATTGCGTGTTCTATAATTTATGAGTTTACTTTATTAATTTGTAAAAATTTATTCGGTTGGTTATGCCATATTGGATATACTTAAATCATGACATCGTGTATATGTAAGTCAATTATGAATCACAGAGTTTTAATCGCCCTGCGCGCATTATAAGCGAACGCGTTATATGTTCCAGACACGTGTAAGGCTGCATTCTCGCGTGCAATAACCCGGAGATCGATCGGCGATCTGCACCCGGCTGCCGAGAGATCTATCGCGGTGCGAAGGGTGAAATTCGGCAAGGAACGAGCGGATTAATCGCGATAATTCCGCCCGAACGACGCCGAGATTCGCCGAGAAATTAAAACTTTCGCGAGGACCCGTTATCGCCCTTTCGCACCGACTTCCTGTCGGCTGCACGCACGCGCGTGTATCGAATCGCCGTCGTTCACGCAATCAGCTTTCCTTGTTGTTGGAAAGACGCTCAAAAAGACCTTACAAACTCTGAAAGCACAATCCTACACGTAATGCGAACACGATAAAGACTTAAAAGTTGACCTAGTATTCATATGCTTTATAAATTAAAAGAAATAGCAATAAAATTCAAGTCTAGCAGGAAGAGATTACATCACATTGTTAAAACATATTACAAATTTGAACCGGATATTACATTTGTCGTCCTGTACTTTAATGCACGATGTTATAACTTTCAAAGTAATAGCAATCTACAAGGTGTTTTATAACGAGTAGATAGAGCAGGCTAAATTGAATCAAAAAGTTCTGAACCATTTTATGATTTTCATAATAATTAATAAAATAACAATTAATTCTTTAATGTTGTTAAAATTTATTTTAAATGGTGAAATAATATTGTTAACAGATTTTTTAAATAGTAAAAAGTTTATACTAAATATGATAATATGTCTAAGCATTTATACATTTAATAAATTTATAAGGCTGAGGTATCCTGGATACACAAATAACATTAAAATTAACAAATAACATTAAAAGGTTAATGAAATAATAATAAATAATAATTAATAAAGATTCCCGAATGAGAGAGAGAGAGAGAGAGAGTAGAGAGAGAGAGAGAGAGAGGGAGAGAGAGTGCAGTCGTTTGCGTAAAGAAACAAGCTTTACATGTGTTCGCGGTTGCTAGGAGCTCGGCAAGATGTTTTGAAGTAGAGACTCTCTCAGAGACTGTCCATAAAAAAATCACTTTTGATTAGCTTGACATTTTTCGAATGAGCTTTTAAGTGATGGTGACTAACTGCAAGAATGACAGCTATGCAAGTTTTAATATACAATATTGAAGCGAGAGAGGAAGTTCCCACGAAGGGGTTCCCACGAAGGGGTTCCCACTAGCTAAAATATTATCCCACAGATTATATGATTTCATATGATTTCATCTGATTACAAATAATTTTTTTCACTACATATGAAGTAATTTGGTAAAATATACGATTTTATTTAATATTATACGATGATTTCTCATGGTTGCATATGTAGTACGTGGTTTAAGTCAAACCGGGACTTTTATTCTTATGTTCATGAGAATAAAAGTCCTAATTTGATTTGAACCATCCACGTAATTATCGGATTATACATAGAAATTTCATATAAATTTTATAATGATTTCGAGGACTCTGTCTCACGATTACATTAAGTGGTTACCCTCTCGAGTCCCCAATTCGCATTCACTCTTGCACAGTCCTCCACACGTTGGCATAGCAATGGCTTACTCTGTTATGTACATGTATAGACCTCACTACTAGCACCACTGTATATAGAATAAGATAACATATCTTATCTTACTTGCATCTTATCTTTGTTGCCACGTTAGATAATACGCTCTTATGGCTAGTCTCTGATTAGAAGATCTCTATTTAGAGGTGTGTTTTATATGAATAGTATTAACTCCGCAGGAGCGGCAATATGTAAACTGTTATGTTATTTGTAAAGCACACCTCCAAACATCTCGTCGCGATCCTAGCAATCATAAACGTATGTAAGGCTGGTCTGTTTTTTATGCAGATGCATTTATTTGGGGATTTTCATTATGATTATCATCTCATTAAAATTCTTCAAGAATATTATAAAATTGATAGAAAATTGATCGACTTTATATAATAAGCAAATCAAATTTGTTTTAATTTAATAATCTTGACGAAAGTAGTAAACTTACTAGAGAATTCAGAATATATTTTAAATAAATTTAATATTTGTAATGAACTTGTGATGGATTTATGAACGGATGTATGAACTTTTGTATAAAATACTTGAAACAAAATAGTTATTACTTGCGTACAGTATTTTTCTATGTGTAACGTTTGGGAATTAGAATCATACATCTCAGAAAGGCAAGTAATTATTTTAAAAAATACCGTGCATACATAATGTAAGGTTAATTATTGCAAACATTGCAAAATGGTACTTTTCGATTCAGTTTAATCTACTCTATTGCTTCACGCGAATTATGAGACATCCTGTATCATGTTAGATATGATATTATATTAGATTAAAAAATTATGTCATTAATATTGAATGAAAAAAGTATTTGTAGAGTAAGATTATTAAAAAGATAACAAATAAAAGATATAAATATTTCTACTTAAATGTAAGTCTTATACATATATTTTAGATCAATACATATGTAACGTATAAAGTTTAATTTGTACAAAGTTTAAAGCACTGTATTTTTTAAAATACAGTGCTTATAGTGTGTCGTGTTAATTTTAGAATGTGTTAATATAGTTTTTAAAAAAGTAATGACTGAAAGCTCTATTTACTCGAGGCTTTGGAAAAGGTAATAAGTAGAATAATAAAATTCTGTCTTTCTCGAGTGTGTGTTCCTTTGTCTCGCGGTTTCTCAAAATTTTTTGTGGCTTTATCTAGCTCTCGCACCAAGGTATTCAATTTTCTCCATGCAGTGCGAAAAGGTTCATTCGAGATTCGCTTACCTTGACGCGTAGCAGGTGTTGCAGACTTTGAGCCTGGCTGCTATTTAAGGGTGGATTGTCGGTCCCGAGTCGTGCCACTGCAATCACGTTTTCTCGAGTCGCGTTGTACAAGAAGAGTGTGCATACTGTCTGTAAATGGAAAACGGGAGAGTTGATCTGAGGAGGTAGATACGTACAGTGGCGCGTCATTCGTCGCTACAATTATAGAGGCTTTATTAAATTCCGCACAGCCCGATTTAGTTTTTAATCGACGCGCAGTTTGACGAGTCATTACATTTCTTATTGACATTTCTCATTATCGAGATTTCACGCGCCGATCGGAGATGCTGCGCATTAATTGCATTCTGGGAATTTCATGGAACGCTCTCCTTCGCTGCCGAAACGACGCGGGATGTAATAAACCTCGGAATAATCGACTGATTTTAAATTCTTTTCTGGGTCATTGAATTTGTGGCAAATTGTGTCAAGACAATCTCTCGATTTTGGAATTTAAGCGAAATTTCTATGGAGCCGTAAGCCGCATATACGGTGTTAATCAACGAGTGACAATTTCAAAGTGTCATCTAGTCGAGATTATAACGATCAATAGGAACAATGTGACGGCAACGCCTCACCTGATTATTGACTTCCTTTCTCATGAAATTATCGAGAGATGACACCGCGTCCAGCACGGTCACATTGTTGTACTGCTTCAATAAGGTCTCGTCTTTCTCGCTGTATCCCAGGAACATGAAAACCCCGTGCGGTATACTGTATGTGTCTGTGCAAATAACACAATGCTTGTATTATATGGCGAGAAGAGAAATCATTTTCTGTTGGACTATTCGAAAATCATCGTAAAATTAAATCTGCAGTCGAGTTCAGAAGAAAAAGAAAAAGACGTTTATTAAGTACATTTAATGCAAACATAAAAAGTAGTAGTAATAGCTTCATTTGATATTAATATAAGTATTTTCTTTATATTTATTGAATAGTTTATTATATAAACATTCCTAATTTGTCAGAATTTAAAGTTTTTCTGAAATAAAATTATCGAATAAATTATTCCTATAAAACTTTAATTTATTTATTCATTTTTATAATAAAGCAAATAAAATCATAATCGCATTATATCTATAGCTTACAAAAATAGCATTTAAGTCATACTAGTTTGTAAAGAGTTTAATGAAAGTGCTGTCTAAATAATCGACTTTAATTTAATCGCATCATAATTATGAGAGAGATGATTACTCACCGGGCGAAGGCCGCATGCATATAAAGCCGCCGCTATAACAAAGGCAAGGACCTCGATGCGCTTGGTAGGCTGGCGCTTCATGATTGTAGAAAGCGAAATCCGTCTTACAAGGTAACGTTTCGACGCACAAAGTGTTGCAAACGAGTTGCTCACCCTCAGCACAGACACACAGTTCTGAGCATTCGGGCTCGTCTTCACGATAAAGCTGCGTAAGTAGAATACATTGCATCAATACTTAAATCCATATACTTTAAAAATGATTGCCGCAAGTGTAAAAATTGTTAAAGTGTTATTTATTAAGTATATAAATAAGTTTTCGCAATTTTTTTCTGATGAAAACACGTTCGTGGTGTTTATGTTGAATTCATGTACTTTATGTAAACTATTGTATAAACAAAAATTTGTTGACATAAATGTAACGTTGTAATTTTATTGCACAATCGAAATAAATTTTCCTTAAAGTTTCAACATGAATTTTATATCAACACTTCCATATAGATTTTAATATACATGTATATAATCCACGTAGAATTAATAATGAAATATAATACAGATAGAACTAGAAGATAGTAATATATAGAATTAACATGAATAAATTCACATCGATTTTTATTCTATGCAAATCATGTTGAAATTTTGATATTTTGATAATATGTCATTCATGATATGTCACGTCACATGGATATCACTTCAATGAATTTCTGTCCACGTAATTTACGTAAAATATATAGATTCAACGTAAATATCACGAGTCTATCCTCATTGAGAAGGTAAAAAAGAAAGAATGTTTATATGAAAATGTGTTGTACTATTTTTGTGCTTGAATTCAATTATGAAGCTATGCTCACACGTTATAAAACATCTTACAAGCGACGTTCCGACATATACTGTCAGTACTAAAAATTTATCACGAAATCTATCCAATAGTAAAAATTGATTCTGTGACTTTTATTGTATTTTTAAGAGATGTTCCTTGCTATTTGTTTTTATCATTATTAAAAATACATTTGTGATCAATTTTATTGAATATCGTGTTTAATCTGTTTCTTTATTCTGAATTAAAACAGCACTTGTTCAATCTGAGGATGATATTAATAAATTAATTCTGAAAAGGTAAAATAAATGCTTTGCATATAATAAGGCGAAATTCCTTATTAAAACAAAGAATTTGAATGTGTGACTTATTTTTAAAATAATAAAATCTGGGATAACAAAACTTTTTTGTGAAAAAGGAAATACGGGAAAATTTTAAAATAAAGCAAGGAAAAAAGGAAAACTTTGGAGGAGAAGAAGGGAAATATCGTATCATTTTGATGGAAATACTACTTTGAAAACTATAGAAATGAATTGATTCATGGAATTAGTTAAAAATAAAAATATATTATTTGACTCAAGGGATTGGATTACCATTTCTTTTGATATCTGATAGTGTAAGTATCACAAATTATTCTGGTGACGGTTTTATCCACGATAAAAATAGTGAAGCATGCAAATGTGCACCTTCCCAGAGTTCATTTTCATTTAAATTAATAAAAATGTTAATTTTCTAACTGCGAATTATTATATCAAATTCAAAATACAGATTAGTCAACCTTACTAATGGAAAAATAATTATGCATGAAAACTTAAATACGCATTTGTTAGCACTATTTAAAATTGATCCCGGAAACTTATTTATACACCCAATATGTGTGTATAAAGAATATATAAAAGAGGAATAATGTACTGTATACACTCAGTACATGATACTAATTTATCATATAAATACCTACATTTTAAATTATTATAACAAAAAATTACGCTTTATCTGTATATTTTCTTCATGAACAATCTTCATTTAATTCATATTAATCAACAAATTTATCAAAATAGAATCTAATAAAGATATAAAAAAAATAATTAACTTCGCCATAGTTATTTCTCTTGATACAATTAATTAAGGGTCTTTTAGTTATTCTTAGAATTAAGGAAATTTTTCATCAATTAGAAGAGCTAAAGAGATACGTCGCGAAGTCGTGAAGAAGTTGTGCGCGATTTCCCGTTGCTTCCCTCTTCCGTTTCTTTACGGTAAAAATTCGCTACTGTGCACTGTGCAGTAAATATCTGATTTTCGCTGACACCCTCGCCCACGCTTTCCGGTATGACGTTCACGAAAAGGTTTCACAAAACCCACGCCTTTTCTTTTTTGTCTTGCGAGTATCGGCTCTCGAGGGTGATGGCAGTGAGCGCTTTGCGTCGCGACGGCGATCGCGAGAGACTTGGGAGATTGCGAGTGACTCACCCTTTTGCCCTTGCCTTCCCTTATGTATTGCTGACTATGTGTATTCGACCTTTGAACCACGCAGAAGCCTACAAAGAGAATGACGTGAGAAGCTGTCTTTTTCGCCAGTTTATTTCTCCAGTCCTTTAAAAATTTCTTTTTCCAACGTATCTCACCCGGAGGCGATCTATCTAATTTGCTTTTCGATGCGAAAGAGATTAAAAATTCTTTTTTTTTCTAGCTACTGGTAAATAAACGAAGTTTTATTTATAAAAAATGTAATAAACGAAGTTTTATTTACAAAAAAACTAGTTTGCTTAAATTAAAAAATAATAATATATAGGTTACATAGAATGTATAAGACATATAGATATAATAAAAAAGAAACAAAAGAATTTCAAAATTTAAAGTTTTAAAAATTTCTTAAGAAATAATATCTGCTGACAAATTAGCACTATGAAAATATGATAATGTATGTATAAACGAACCTTGGCATTGTAATAAAATTTAGTAGTGAACTTTCAAAGATTTTACGATAAATTCAATTTTCAGTAATAAATATATAATAACCAATCAAGTTCCAGATGAAATTGCTGTTACGATAAAATTTACGAAGAACAAGTTTATATTACATATAAAATGTATTTCAGAGTTTAATTTGTAAAGATCGTCTATTTTTTAGTGTTAGCTATTTCAATATTTCCATACTCTTAAAAATCAAACTGAAAAAGTAATTAATAACTTATCAGCAGAATGCTTGATATAATCCCGAGAGAATCAGAGGATATTACATAGCAAATGTATAACGTACCAATTATATTACGTAGCAAATTAATTATATTACATAGAAAATTAATAATCATTGAATACGTTTGTACTCGATCCACTCACGTGGTGTCGGCGTGGTGGTTGTGGTGGTGCTCGGAGTGGTGCTTATAGTGATCGTTGTGATTTCCCAAGTTTCCGTGGGTTCGGTGGTCGGCCACCTCGTCACTTTCGGTATTTGATTATCTTCCACTTGTTCGACTGCGGTGGTCGCCGTCGTGCTCGCCGGTGACCTCGTCGTTGATGCGACGGCCGCCGTCGTTGTCTTCGCTGTTGTCGTTCGCGAATGATGGTGCTTTCTACGCGCGTGGTAATCCTTCTGCGACTCCACTATAATCAGAATAACCCTCTCAAAACAATGTGAGAATGAAATCGAATAAGGATGCGGTCCGATTCAATGGCTCATTGGTGGCTCACAATACTCTTGGAATCATTCTTTTTGCTATCAAATAAGGACAAAAGCTCATTGTGAATCAGACTACAGTCTAAGAGTTACATTGAAAAGTAATATACAAATAACGGAAATTTTCACTCGGAAAGAGAAACATATATTTAATAGCAACTATAAAAGTGACGAGTTATATGTGTGTATAGAATTAATGTATGTATAGTACATGTAGTTGCAATAATTATAAAATAGATTATTTAACATTGTACATTAATTTTACATATAAAACTTGTCTGATTGTTTATCTCTATCACTTAAAAAAATTTCCCTTTCCTCTTGTTAGTCTTTCTATCAATTGTCTAACAGAGTTTTCTAGCGGATACTTTTGATTCTTAGTTTAATTATTTTCTTTCGTCATTCACGATTGCTAGCAGATAACACAGTTATCTCAATTAACATCTCCATACATATATTTTAGGTTTATGAGCAATGAATGCAAAGCCATTAGTTAACGAATTTTCATTGAGGTCTTTTGGATATTCCATTAGAAATTGGGTCTTCTGTGTACTCAGAACGTCATGATTTTTTTTGGGAAGAATTCTCCTCTTATAGGCATAATTTGACGGAAAGTTTGATGGAAGTTAGATTGTTTGCAGAGATCATTTACGACGAGTAATGCTAGTTCGTAGCAACAAAAGCGATTATTATAACATGGATCAAATACAAAGGCAAAAAGGAACTTTTGGAATTAATGAATGTGAGCGTTTGTTTAAGTCTTAAAAAATGTATTTTTGCGGTACAACTATTTTAAACTGATTTATAAACGTAATCATTTTAATTAAATATTGAAGATGACCCAATAGAATGAAAAATAGGTCGAAATGTCTATTGTAATAAGATAGTTTAAACTGGAAATATTAAGGTATTTATTTTCTATGTTTACATTAAACATGTATTTTAAACAATTGGTTAAATAATTCTTCTTAGACGTCTATTGTAATTTATAAAGATTCTTTTGACTTACACGCTCCTTGATTATTATTATTTATTCAGAAATTTGTCGATTAAATTTACTATTTCATGACTATCTATTGAACTTCTTCGCAGACAATTATTTGATTCTGTTTTATGATTACCCATGCTAGGATGTGCTTTCACTTTCCATCGTAACTTATAACATTTCATGGCACAATAATAAAAATAAAAAAAACTACCGACTTGAATCGGCATCGTCGCCTCGGAGTAACTTGGGCTTAATACTTTCTCCCTCACTGTCGCGCCGCGCACTAGGAAACGGACGTGTGGCCGCAAATAACAACCGCTAAGCAATATAAAGTGCCGAACGGAGAGCCTGTAAAATTGCAGTTGAATGTACACGTGTAGTCATCCGACGCGGAAGTATGAAAGTATCGGGAAAGTCGCCCGGTCCCGTATCGCCGGCGGCGCAGCTGCTGTGAAATATTTCAGCCTCCGAGGGGCTCCGGGGTGATTACACTTTCAAGGGGCACCGCATGCCTCTCCTCTCGCGAGACGCGTACAGCAATAATAAGGAACGTAAGATGCGCGTAATAATATTTTACGAGCTGCAGCGACGACTGCAACTTTTATTTCCACAAAATAGATTATGTTTATCAGTATTTATAAATACGTCACAAAACGACGATCAGTATTTCATTTTAAAGCAAATCATGCATCTCAATAGTATTTGCAATATCTTAAGGATTTAATTACAAATTGTCCAATGTCAAATTATAAATTGGAAATAACTAAATAAGGCATTTACTGCTTACGTTTATTATTAAACATGTATTTTAAACGATTGATTAAACAATTCTCTTTACCTCTAAAGCAACTTAAAAAAGAATGATGCACTCAGGGAAAAGACTAGATTTGCGATATGGCGATCTGTGCAACTACATGGTGATGCCACGCGCAGAATTGTAATTACATCGGTCGAACAAACGACACAGATTAGCTCTTATCGATCTTTCCCGACTTCGTCGAGTTGTAAAGCATGGCAAATGCAATGGACTGCATTCAGTTGGTAGATAAGTCATTTAGATACGAAGAAATTGCATCTCCTACTGCGTTTTAGAAGTGTATCATGCCGAGAACATCGGCGAAATATCATAGAGCTTTGTCTGTTCTAATTATATACCATAATGTTTATATATTCGATGACCTAGTCGAATAGAAATTAGCACAAGAGTAAATTCTCTAGTAATTTTCCAGTTGAATTTTTGTAATTTTTTAATTTGTCATTAATGAACATCTTAGTAAATCGGAAGTTGAATATAATTGTAAAAATTAAAATTATATTAGTTAGGAAATAAGCTCTTGTTAATCAAGTTTTTCTTATTTTAATTGTGTTTTTCCAATTTTCGACAATAGTGATATCAAATCTTAACGTGAATTTAAATTTTATTAAGAACATTGGACTCAAGGAATACTACCCAATCAATATATAATATATGCACGCCGATTTTGATGAAACTTTCATTATTAAAAAATGACCAGATCCTTACGATTAGTTGTATCCACCTTATGCATCTCGGATAACGCTAATGTTGGCGATACACTATAGCTTTCGAGTCTTATAACTCAAAAAGTGCTTAGTGAAAAAATATTTTATTATAGTATATTTAAAAGCTCTCGAGATGAACTACAAGAAACAAAGAGAACTATGTAATGGAAAATGGAAGTTTTTTCCATTTAAAAAAATCTATTTGACCTTGACCTGATCTTGACGATGTTATATAAACCGATATAAAACCAGTAAATACATCTAAACCCTATAACTTTTGTCGAAGACATTTTTTAAAAAAAAATGCACACTTTCCGAGATATTAGACTGTTTCCAGATTTTTGGTAGGTATATATTATATTTAATTGCTCGTTACTCGGCTTCTAAGGCCTATTAGCAGGAACGGCTTTATAAATGTTCACTTGGTAGGCTCCTCTAACATCTATAAATATTGTTTGATCAAAATCGGTGACGAGCAGAGCGTCATAATATCTCTCCTTGTAAGCTCAAGTTTAATTTACTAATCTATATATATAATTTATTGACATTAATATAATAAATCATAGATCACATTTTATTACGTAATATTTTATATTCACTTGCTGTGAATAAAAACAAATAAATATATCCTTCATGCGTAGTAAATAAATGCAAAAAGAATTTATTACAAATGCCGTTTAATGAAAAACGGAATACCGTCACATCGTTCTTCATGCTGATAGAATTGTGTGAGATAAACATTTGCGAAGATCGATTGAACATTGGAACAGTATATTATCAGTCTATATTAATTAACATTCCAATACCAGATAGTGTGCAGCTTGCGATTATTTTTATTTAATCCGGATGATTCAATATCGATTTCGAGATTACTGCGTTTTCAAATAACTTGCTTGAAGTGTACCTGCTATTTCCAAAGTAGGTTAATTGTTTTAAAGAATAATAGTTATTTCTCTTACAACATTCTTTATTTTAGCCTCAAAAAAGTAGACCAATAATGTTGTATTGCTTTATTGTCTTTCATATATTTTTATCGTACTTTCACAAGGTGAAATTTTACAATAACCTTGAACATATTTCTTATAACATACTTATTTTCTGTAAGTAATTTTTTTCTCTCCATACCAGTTGTCTATCAAAGAACAATAAATCGCTAAACTTAACTTTCCTAATCTAAATTGTTGTTACCGAGTCCTCAACGCGAGTAATGAACGTCCCAGAATTTTCCGCTTACCTACGCAAGGATTCACCCAGAGAAGCCGCTGCCAACCCAGACAGCCGTATAGCTGGTTAAGCTCGGTACCCTTACAAGCGCAATTAGTATGAAGTTCAGTACCCAGGATGCCCAGCATCGCTTTTCTGCACTCGGAGGTTCGTCCGGCGCATTTCTTCGTCATGCTGTCGACCGCGCAACTCTGTTCATAATATTCTAGTCTAAGTCTGGAAAAATAAAAATATCAGGATATTAATTACATAGGCGATCAATTAAGTTTGGAGTGGCTCTTATAAAGGAAATAAAATAAAAAATTCTTGAAAGTATTATATAGTTCACTTTGAAAGGTAAATCAAAGTAAACTGCATAACATTTCAAAAATTTTTCATTTTATTTCTTTTATAAGAGCTGTCGAAAAAAATGCTTAAAATTATGACAAAATTGGCATGTCAAACGCTGTAATAATCACTCGTAACTGACGCAAAGATTGCTTATAATTATGTATAATTAATTATATTTAGAAAATTATTATAGATACATATATTAATAGAATAAGATAATACAACTTCGAATATGATATAATTACAAACGAAATAAGATTTTGAATCTAATTTTCGAGGTTTAAATTTGATTTTTTCCTATTTAGTAATATCCTTTAATACCCTTTACACAATCGAGAGTTATTAAACTTTAACCTCGAAATTGGATTTAAACCTTATTTTGTTCCAAATTGTTGTACTTATGCTATTGTAATTTTTTAAATATAATTATACATCAATGCTGAAGGAATTATTATACATATTAATGATAAATATTGTCAAGTTAGTTACACATAATTATTGTTGCATTCGACAGTTTTAAGATAATGTCAAACATATATACTTATCCATTAAAAGAAAATTAATTTACTAAATGCTAAAAAGCAGATAGTATTCATTAATAATATTCATTTCACTAATTTCTAATAACAGCAAACAAAATGGAAAGACTGATGTTCGTATATTAATTAAACATGGACGTTTTATTAAAACATCAATAATCATCTGTAAATATAAATGACGGTCTAACAAATTATTAAACATAAAACGGATTTATTAACAAATTGATTGATTTTCGAGATAAATAATTACTTTAATTAAAAAGGTATCCAAAAGTATCCTTGAGATCAATAATTATAAATGATGCTGTAATAATCATGGAATTGTATACCTGTGTGTCCATTATATAGTGATATTAATACTAATTGTAAGTGATCGAAAGGACTAATATTGTAACAATGACTAATCGCGGGTATTCTCATTGATCACACTGTTAGTGTGGCAACTGATATGGTCAATAAATATATACATATGGCAAAACGTAAGCTTTGTTTCTACAGCGTTTCAATCACAGTATTTAATTTTTCAATTACAACAATTTGCATAATTATTCAAAAAGCATATTTTTACATAAAAAAATTATTGCGAATTTCCTTATTTATGTTCACTTTACGAATGATAAATTTTTTATTGTTTGTCGTTATACATACATATTTTTTTCTCAATTTTTTTAAATATATAGAGAATTGTATTGTACACATAGAATAATATTTAATATTTTAAATAATAAATAGAAACGCATCATTTTTTTTCAAATAAGTTTATTTATCCACATTATATGAGATTTAATATCGTAAGTTTATTTTATTTTCTATAATTAGATTTAGAAACATGCAAATTCAATTTCTATTCTGAGTCGATCCTGATTTCTCAATAAGATCATTGCGTAGATACTATTAAATTACGTTTGTTATTAACTGTATTAGAAATCAAATGTATTTTAATTTATATTTAAAATAAAGGTAATGACGGAGTCGTTAAATTAGTTAAATAAGTGTCTAAATTCAAAAAGCACTGAAGTTCATTAGCGAAGTTTTTAACGCATTTTGCGTTGGATAAATAATAAACAGATAAATGTACAATAGATAGCGTAAAAGTTGTTACAGCATACACACACACAAATATAACAAAAATTTTATTCTTTACATAATTTTTAATAAGTCGTTCAATTACGAGATGTTACTGTTATATCTTATATATTGCAATAAAAGCCAGAAAACTATAATATCAATAAAAAAGATAATAATAGTTTGCAATAATCAATAATCAATTAGTTTAAATATTTAAAAATAAAAAAAGAAACATTATTAATAATTTAACCAATGACTTAATTGATCATGATACTCAGAGCAATGTGTTGATTCTGTTAATTGCGAGTTCCGCGATTTGCTTGCAAACAACTGTTATTATAAAAACAATTATTATAAAAAAGTGCATTCAAGCGATCATTAAAAAAATATTTAAATAAATGCTATAGAGACACTTCGAAGCGCGCAAATGCATCTCGACTCACAAAGCGTCTGCGACACGTAGCAATTGCTCGTTTCCAAGTCGCATATAGATACCTCTAAATAGCAAAATTAAAAATGGATTCGTTCATCCTAGGCGATAAATCAATTAAAGCGTTGAATCGGACCATGCATACGTACGTGCATGCATGCACACGTGTTTTAATTTAATCGATCAGCGACGCGTTTGTACACGTTCCATCGCTTACAATTGCACCTCCTTTTCGTCCATTTTAATCCCCCGTTACCCACGTTGTTTTTTTGAACGTATTTATTAACGAGAAGTGCATTTTACTTCCGCACATAATATTTCAATTTTCGTAATTGAGTTGAAATTTTATCATTAATTAAGAGATGATATAACTATATAATTTGACATATCCAATAATATTCAAGAACGGTGAAAAATATACAATAAAAGTTTGCAACATTCCGATAATTTAAAAATTGATTAATTTTTGCACTAAAATGAAGTAAAAATTAAAAGTCACACATCAATTCTAAATTTACATATATGTGTACTAGTACTCTACAAAAAAATTATATCATTGTATTATAATAATTATTTAATATCATTGTATAGTTCCCTTCAAAAGTAACACAATTTGCAAAAAATAAGTTTTTCAGGAAAGGAAATAAATGTTCTTAACTGTTTCTTAACTTAACAGATAATAATTACAGATAATTACATTATTAGTATATAGTTTATAGTAAAACGGTTGGAAATAATTTTTTAATTTAACCGTAAACTACCATATAATATATATAAAATTACTATATTCATGATTATGGTCTACTAGACTTTTTTTTACTGTAAATTAATATAATTATCTGTAATTATTTTTGCGAAACTTTCTTTTATTTATATTAGAATAGAATATACTCATTTTTAAAAAATTAACTCTCCTGCACTACTTCGAAATGTTTGATCATAGTTTACATTCTGCGCCGTTGAGGGAAACAGCATATATTTTTTATAGTATACGCAATTTTAACTTTATATTCTTCGTATTAATTAATATTTCTATATTACTTTATACATAAGATTCAATTAATAAAATTTTTAAGCAATTTCATGCATGATATTTATCGATCAAGATATTAAATCGGAATGTATCTTCCATGGGAAGATACCATTTTAAAAAATAAATTGTTTTGTACAAAGCGATGTCACTCTACCTTTGTCCTCATATTTTTTTGTAAAATTCTTTGCACCGAGCAAAAACCATGCAATGGAAACGGGGACAAAATTGACACGTAAATAATAATGTCCAATTAGAATGACGCAATCTTATCTCGCTAAGTAAACCAGGGGAGCACCCGATTAAACACCGCAAACACGTCGTCCCTTATTTTTTCTCGCAGTTTTGCCGGAACTTTTTCAATTTTAAAGTTAAATCGCGATTCAACAAGATTTATACGCGCGCTAATGCAATATTTCCTTAGTCAAGAGGATGACCGTCCAGAGTGCAGGACTATGAGGGATGAAATGATATGTTCTTACCTTCCAGATTTGGTGACAATGTATATGAGTATCGCTTTAAATAAATCCGCTTATGCATTGAGAAAACTATTTTATCTCACAGAGGTTTCAGATTCAACAGAATCTTTGTTAAGACAAAATTAGCAGTTATTAAAAACCGTGTTAAAAACTTTTAATTTGCAATTGATTATACAATTACGGTAAAATAATGTTGTTAAAATGATCGTCTTATATCTGTTAATATCAAGGCTTATATCTGTTAATATGAGGCTTTCTAATTATATTACGAATGTTTGTTTTTAGAACATGCACATGTGTACCTGTTTCAGTTAAATTTGCTACTTGTTTCCAGAGATTTTCTTTTCACACGTTTCGCTCAACATTTCTACATTTGCGCATGATCCGTTATGTATGGATAGTTCATGTAGAAACATGCAAATTTTCAAAAATGTGAATATGACGCACTGCCTCACCTACAACTCCTGTTCTCTTTGCAAGTCTCGGCTAGACTGTGACACGTTGGCATTTCGGCGCCATCTATGCGTTGCGCGCAAGTTGGATGCATTTTCTCTTGCGCCACTATGCACTCGTCCTTTTTGTTGTCCGTTTTCCTGCAATGTGAAAAACATAGACGAGTGTATAATAAGATTCAGGAAGTTATTTAGAGAATTCTTTAAAGCACACTTTTATTTATACAGAAGCAAACTCCAACAAAGTTATGACTATTATCCGGAACAAAAAATAATTGGTGTTAAAAAAAAGATATTTTAACATAAAGTTTGCACTATATGTATAAATAATATAAACAGAAATTAAAATTTACTTCAGATTTATTTATCGAATGAGGCGAGCAGCATAACAAAACAAATATTAAAGTTATCATTATAATATTTAAAAAAGTGATTATTTTGTATAACATTAATAATTACCTATATACCAATAATTTGAACGATAGCTTGATTAATTATACAACTTTAGCTTCAGCTGAAAAAGCTAATCAGTTTTTTGTATTGCATTGAAATATATGATATGCAAGAATGACAATAATAACAATTAATTCACGACTTCATTTTTTGATTATTATAATTTTTTTATTAGTGCAATCCAAGTATTATAGCACTTACAATTAGTGTTTTATCGAGAAGTGACAAATTGAAGCGTTAATTATGGCATAATTGACAAAAAATGAATGTGGCGCACATTATTCGTTCTTTTAATCAGATGCGTATTTTTTATTTATTTACCCAGGTTTTTTTCTATTCAGTCGTTCTTATTTCAAAATAGATAAAAAGAGGATTCTGAAAAAGACTGCCACGAGGATTCGTGGGATAAGAATAAGACACGAAACGGAAGCGGAAAGTTTCCGCATTGTGTCGCAACCAAAAGCTACTTAAAAGTTAAAGTAGGCTCGTTAAAAAATACGAGCTTTTCGCGCAAGAGAAGTATTACGGTTGCTTCGAAGATTTCGTCGAAGTTCTCATTGTGAGATCTCCACTCGCCTCTATTTGTCCCGCTTGATATTTTGAAAAAATTTGTGCGTGCAATTTCTGCGAAATAATTTCTCTCAATTGTTATGAGCGTGAAGTATTTTTGCGGAAGAATGTAGTTATCATATTATGAGATTAGAATAATACGAAACATAAGCTAGTCGAATCTTACTATAAGTTTCTTTTGCTTCAAACAAAATCAATAACTAAAATTAAACGTTTCGACTTTTAATGTGTGTGAGCATCCTAAATGATAAAGAATAAATACAAAAATTATTACTGGGTTATCTAACGCAAGACATAAATAAATTTTATCTACTAACTTGGAGCGCATTTGGAGAGGGTAAACACCTAGAAGTCCATATAGGAGATAGAAAATCTAAGATAGGGAAAATGTCCAACAAACTATCATTTAGATTATCGCTTTATTTTAAATATGTGGATGACATTTTGTTGGCTCTTGAAAATAGGTGAAAATATTTGAATGATATTCTAGATGTTTCGAATTCATTACAAGAACTTTTACAATTTGCCAAAAATAACAATCAATTAAGTTTTTAGACGTATTGTTGATAAGAGATATGGATACTATCGTTTTTTATCTCATAAAGCCACATTTTCGGGAAGATACACGCACTCCAGCGAGGCTTGACTAGCCATGTTTCGTATTATTTGAATTTATTATTAACATATAAGATTAGGTTTTATCGATGTGGCGCTGTAACGGATAAAGATGTTAGCATTGTTTAATATTTAAAAAATAATTTAATAATCACGAAAGTCTCGTCATTTCCTTACAATCTCGAGATTAAGATCATTGATTACTTTTGTGCAAAATTGTATATGCGAATATAAATTAACTCTTTCGTCTCGTGTTCCTCATCTCCTAATTTCCTGTGGTATCTACTAATTTTGTTTTAAAAACAGTTTTTCAATCTTTAATTTTATTACAATCGTTAAAAAATTTATTAGCATAATAGAAGACTAAATTCTTGTTTTATTTAAAATTAAAAAAAATATGATAAAAGTTACATTTAACTTGACAATGTTCCTATCTTCTAAAATTATTTTAATTAACTTGTATACATTATGAAAGTTTTTTTTCTATAAAGAATATTAAAGATCACATCTGCAATAAGATATCGATGCATAGAAGAAATGTGGCTTGTCATTACGTCAACTTAGTTTCTCAATAATGCACCAAGAACAATCGGTTGCAATCATACGTCCCCTCCATTCTTTATTCATCTCTGCAATTCTCTGCATTGTGCCCATTATTACTTCCATCCGAGTTCAGCTGAATACATGACGCAGAGATCCATCGGGAACATGATCTGGCATTTCTGTCAGTTAAACGTGTTTGCGTTTTCTTTTTCGTTATATCGGTACGGTTCGGCTGCGCGTAACGCCGGATGCAATGTAACGGGCACTACTCGGCCATATGTATCGCGGGGCACGCATTGTTTTGCGCAGCGATTCGAAGCTCCGGCTTCAATTGCCTGATATGCAGAATTTTGAAAAATTTTTCGCCGGCGTGAACGTGCGCGAGCGTAATTAGAATGCGAGTTAACAACGCGCGTCCTTCGATTAATTCCAAATTAATTTACGATGGCGCCGACAGTTGATTCGTCATTTCGCGCTTGCAGCTGCGCCACTACTGTTACAATAATCCGTTATTAATTCACGTTGCGTCGCGCATTGTGCTGCGCAATAGTCGCTTGCATAGCGTCTACGTTAATATTTTAACGCGACTTTCTCACGACAATGGACAGCTAATTAAACATTCAACGTCGACAGAACGCAACCGAAAAGGGCAATCGTTTCTGTGTAGTTACGTCGATAAAAATCTTTCCGCTGAAAAGAATACTCTTAGCGAGACACGTAACATGCAATAAACTTTCCAAACGATAAAGTATACTTTACGACGATATGCGCCAGCCATAAAAAAGAAAAAAACGAAAATCCCATGTAAGTCTATCTATTAAATAAAGGTGTATGTGTTTATATATATATATATATATACATTTTTAATAGATAGACTTATATGGGATTTTCATTCTTATATATATAAAGAAAGTATAATAAACATAAGGAAAGAAAAGAAATTATAGCTGAACAAGCTATACAATGAACCCATAAATATCAGAAATGTAATAGCAGTAGTTTACAAGATTTTGTACAAGAGCATATGAATTGTTCCTAAAGTAGTAATTTTCTAATTCGAGCTTATAAATTTGACAAATACTTCCACTAGGTTTGGTTTTTGAGGTCTAAGAAAAGACAATTTTTCTAATAAGTATATGTATATATAGTGAAATTTTGTTAAAATTAAAAAGAAAATTAAAATAATTAGAGAAGCCTATAAAAGCCAATACAAGATAGACGTATGTTACAAAATTTATTACATAAAAATGAAGTTTAAACTCTCAGTTAGAGTACTTTTTAGTATACACAGTTATATAATTAAAAATTAACAATTCACTAATGACTTAATAAGATAATGACATATAAATAGAAAGTTAAATTAAAACACGTTTTTTATAAGATGTGTTTAGAAAAAAAATTAGAAGCGTTGAGTTTTTAATTTTTGTTTTTTTGTACGTTTTTATGACTTTAGTCGATTTTACAATTAGAGTCACCAGAATAATCGCCTAACATGTTTTTGTTCCAATATACTCTTGTAATAATATTTTTCAATTATAATCATTATTCTGGTGTTCACTTTGCTTATTACTTGTTCTAAATTATTCAGAAAGAAATGCTACATTAAAAATTAACATGCTATATTTGAAAATTGACTTGCTGTATCTTAAAAATTCGATCTAATGGAATTTTTCTAGCCGTAGATTCGAATTCAGTGCCTCAAAATACGTTAAAAAAATTGTTTCTTTTTCTTGCATTAAAAATTATTTAAAATCTGTAGCGATAATAGAATTAATCCTTTAGTTATAATACACGCCATTACATAATGGCTTCCTTTTAATTTATTCTTTGAAATGAAATGCCTCTCTAATAACTTCCCTAATAGAAATCTTTTGAGATAAAACGCCACTGTAATAGCTCTTTTATGCTTATGCTACTATTATGATTTATGCCTCGATATCTTGTCATTGTTAAATAAGAATATGTTCTCAAACGTTTTGATCTACATTTGTTTCATCGAAAGGACGTTCGCGTTTCTTAATTGAATTCCAAGCTGTACGTACACAGGGATACGAAACCACGTCCAGCTTTAATCATATAACCAAAGGGCTAAAAAGCATTGCTGTCTATTTGATTAACCTGCAAAGGCAGAAGGCAATTTCCACGGAATGCTTGTCATTGGCGGTCTTGTAGAAATGCTGCAACGCCTCCATGCACTCGTTTCTCGCGCACGTCGTCGAGTCGCAGTGGTTCAGAACAGGTTCCAGCAGATTTTTGCATTCCGGATCGTTTCTGAGTAAACAAAAACGTTCCACGTATACTTTATCTCATCTGCAATGATCGATCTCGGTTACTACAACGAAAACTTGCGAACTTACTTGCAGGACGTATAAGCATGATGGCACGTGCTGGATAAGATCAATTTCACCGGCTGTTGTATCTTATCGATGTCTGACGTAGAGGACGGTGGCTCCATCCCCGCCTCTGTGAAACAAGCAACGTGTCAGTGAGTGGAAAGTACTAATCTAATTGTTTATATTGTAATTAGAAACAGCCTGCGATTTAACTTTTGAAAGATAACAGATAATGTTTTTGATAACAAAAAAGAAATATTCTTTTAATTTATACAAAATTCAGCATTTAAAAATTTTTAAAGTGTTAATAATAAATCTAGGTGCAAAATTAAAAATGGCAGATTGAGTATGACATACTACATTATTATTCAGGGATTTTTAAAAGCAACCAGTTATCGTTACCAAGTTAAAAAAGTAACCAGTTACCGTTAATTACTGATAACTTTGTTAATTACTGATTCTTAAAAGTAACTCTTTACCGTTACTTAAAAAGTAACGATTCGTTACTTTATTATTACCTTGTTAATGTTGAAACAAGATCAATCTAAAAAATTTTGCAATTTATTTCTTGTTAAAGTGTTCGTATAAAAGACGATAATTAACAATGACACTACATTGATACGTTAAAACACAACTAAAAAAGGCAATGCTTTTTCAGCCCGAGCTAGAACTTCGTGCATAATAATATTTCAGAATGAATATATATACACATCTAGTTCTAGGAAATTTTGATCTCTTGAAACGCAATCCGACTAAAGTGATATTTTTCACAATAATGGTCTGTCCTTTATTTCTGCACTCTCTGAACTTGTGCAATAAGTTGAAGTGAAATAAACGTATATTTGTTTCACTTCAATTTATTGCACCGCATGCACCAGTTCAGAGAATGCAGGAATAAAGGACAGACCTTAAATCTTTTATCACGTGACATTACTTTCGTTAAATTTAAAGATGATATTCATAAAGTTTGTTCTTATGCTAATACTTACACTGTGATTCGTTTATAGACGTCATAAACAAATCACAGAGCCGTATTAGCACATCTTAGATTAAGATATTATTTGAAGTAAAAATGAATTATGACCGGTTTAAGATTGAAGATTAAGAATACACAAAAATTAATAGGTTAATTATAAATAGGTTCAATTGATAAATTATCATAAATAGGTTTTAAATATTAAAAATAATATAAAACTAAAAGTAATTATAAAACTCGTTACCGTTACAGTTACAAGAAAAGATAATGTCGTTACCAGTCTGTTACAAAAAAGTAACCGTAACGGCGTTACAAGTAACGAGTTTTCAATCCCTGATTTTATCGATTAAAATTTTCGTCGAAGAGGACGTTTTGGAATGTAGTCTATATATACATTTTCTAATGTTTTTCCATTCCAGCAAATTAAAAAGAGAAAAGTCCGCGTGATGAGTTAGAAATAAGCTTGGCATCCAGAAAAAGAATAGAAGATACGATCGCAGGATCTAATTTATTCCCACTTACACACACATGACGACAAATGTGGTCAATGTCCTACTTTATTAATCAAATATGCGTATAAAAATAACAATGTAAAATATTCATTGTAACCAGCGAAACTTTTTCAATTAGCGTCATGTTATGCAATTGTATATCAGACATTTTGCATTCATATTTGATAAATTGTGAAAAGCATCATTTATCATGAATATATATCTACTGTTTTACGCACGATATTGAAGGTTTTTCCAGCACAAATTAAAATGCAAGCTTCTATTTACCATCGATTGATGCATCGAGGGATGCGCGTAGCGCTCTTTCTTTCTCGAAAGTGATCGATATCGGCATAGTTAAACATGGCAGCTTGAGTTCCACCTGTTTTTATCCGTAATGCACTGTTTACACAGTCACAAGGGAGACCCACTTTTCTTCCCGGTGGATACAAATAAATGATAAATCATCAACGTCACACCGAGGGCGTCGACGCACTGTAGAGCGATACTTATCATTTCCTTTATTTCCAACTCCGTAAGAATTATGAACCCATATCAGAATAAACAAGCAATTTTTCTTCATCATTTAAATGCAATGTTATTCCTCAAACTTTAGATTGAATTTGTTCGAGTCTTAAGATATTTTATATCGAGTCTTATTGTATATTTATATCAAGTCTTATTTACATCAATTTTAAGTAGATATGTATTTTCTGTAATAGACATGTATATTCCTGTAAATTCTAAAAAATTAATCGTGATGCAAAATACTCTCTCGAAGAAAACAATAAGCTATCATGGAAATCTTTGTTGAAAATAACTAGCTCTGTAACAGACTCGAATTCGACAAGCGATTGTCCGAGGGATGGATATCTATCTACCCGATGACGAATGATTGCCATCATTAACCAACATCTTCTCTTCGATTGATGGATTTCGTCGACGAGGTTAACGATCGCGGGGGTATTCGTGAATATCGAGAAGGAAGAACGAGACTACCTTTTTGGCATGAAGGGAAAAAAGGGTCTAGGATTCCCCATGAGAAGAGCCGCCCCACCAGATGACTAGCCATAAGTCAACCACCATGAAGAGCGTGGCTTCGACGCACTTTATTAAGACAAACGAGCGGCCGCCTCTCCTGCATCCCTTTAGGGGCCTTTAATCGCACTCCTGAATCGTTTGTGAGTTATCTTGCGTGTTTGTTTCGCTATGAAAAAAGAGAAGTCAATGGTTGTTTAAAGTTTTAATAAAAGCACAGAAATAAAAGCAGGTTATATGTATGTATGAATGTGTGTGTGTGTGTGTGTGTGTGTGTGTGTGTGTGTGTAATATATATATAATATATATATCTTAGTGATCAACCTTCCCAAATTAGGAGAGGATTCCAAATTTTAACTCTTCGTTCCACTTTACAACGCGTCCCAAATTTTTTCCCAAATTAAGGACATGATTAATAAATGTTCCCTTTTAAATGTAAAAATAACAAATGTGAAATAATAAGTAAAAATAAAAAGCGAAAATAATAAGTGTGAAATAAAATTTTTAACTAATATGTGAAGAATTTTATGATTTTTTTTATTTAAAAATTCAGATATTATTAATAAAATACACATTCAGTAGAAAAAAACAATTTTAAAAAATAAAATGTGATTTCGTAACTTGACGTAATTTTTGTTGCGGTTTCATGTGATTTTATACGTTGTGTGTTATTAGTTATTTATAAATGCATGATATTGTTTATGTATATCCTTAACAACTATTTCAAAATTAAAATAAATTAAATAAATAAGACTCAGAATTTAATAGAGAAAATAAAAGCCGTAATGGATCAATACAGATATAAGTGAGCCAAAATAACAATTTATTCATATGTCATATATATCTATCGGTAAACGTTTCGATTACTTTTTTTATCTTTCACTAAACAAAACAAAAAGAAAAAATTGAATTACAGTATTATAAATAGTCTAACGAAAAGCAAACAGGAATAACGTTATAAAAGGAATATAATTTGCAAAGCTAGTGCGTAAGATCATCATCAATAGTATATGTAATGTGATATCGATGTCGGCTTCACTGAACGTAAAGTAGCTGAAATTAAAATTTAACGTCAGTCAAATAATGTGCTAGCACTGCCAGCTAAGTCTCAACCATATTCCAAAGAAGTAATAAAATCAAGATGTGTTAAAATTTGATTTTTGATCGAGTCAAGAGACTGTAACATATCATCAAGAAGGATAAAACGAGAATATCTGACCTGATGCCACTCCTGGCTAGATCAAATCTCCTGGCTAAATCAAAAATTAAATTTTAACACATCCTGATTTTATTACTTCTTTGGAATATAGTTGAGACTTGGCTGGCAGTGCTGGTATATTATTTGGCTGATGTTAAATTTTAATTTCAGCTACTTTCAATGAAGCCAACATCGATATCACATTACATACACTATTGATGACGATCTTACTAGCTTTGCAAATTATATTCCTTTTATAACATTATCCCTGTTTGCTTTTCGTTAGACTATTTATAATACTGTAATTCAATTTTTTCTTTTTGTTTTGTATAGAGAAAGATAAAAAGTAATCGAAATTTACCGATAGATATATATGACATATGAATAAATCGTTATTTTGGCTCACTTATATCTGCATTAGCTCATTACGGCTTTTATTTTCTCTATTAAATTCTGAGTCTTATTTATTTAATTCATTTTAATTTTGAAATAGTTATTTTTAAACAGAAATTTTAATTTTCGATATAACGGTGACTTTTAAACAGTAACTTCCCATTTCCTGCTTACACACGGTCCGTCGAATCGTTTCTTTATATTCGTGCAGTTAAAGTGAAATAAAAATAACTTTGTAACTGTAACTGATCATCTATAATTATATATTCTAATTTGCTATTTAAACAATATTGTCCTCCACAAACTTCAACACAATTATTTAGAATTATAAGAAACATTACATATAACGACAAATTAACAAAGACTCGCGAGAATATTTGGTGTGCAAAGAAGATTCAATAAAAATTCACTGAGAGAAATAAGTTTGTTATAGAAATAAAAAAGGGGATAACAAATGTGATGGTAGGAAAACGGATTGATCAGTTACTATTGCGAATAATTTTTCATTACTCTTTAATGTAATAAATAATACACGATTTACGATATAAATAAAAAAGAATAAAGCAGTTACACAAGACATACGCGAATTTATTTCTTTTTGAACTGCTTTATTTCTTCCTCCACGAGCATTTTCTTTATTACACATATCCTAACACGCCTAAACATTTATGCTTCTTTTAAATTAAAACATTTTAAAACCAATCTTTATTTTTATTAATGGATTCTTATGATATAAGTCTGATATAAACTAATAACAACAAATTTAAATAAAAATTAAACGGTTTTCCTCATTTTTTTAATATTAAAGTTAATAAAAGTTGAAAAGAAGAAGAAAAAGATATTGTTAAACCATCATAAATATCGAAGTCTGCCAGGATTAAAACGATTCTAAATATTATAAAAAAATTAATTGGAACACATTTAAGAATTTTCTATATACAACATCGATATCGCAAATTTTGGATACGATCGACACATTATAATATAATAAAAAGACAAGAACGATTTCAAACAGCAGTAACTGAA